ACCCTGCTAGCACGCTCCTCTCTTGCCCAGAACTCAGCCTCCTGCCTCCTGACTGTGGGCCCTATCCTTGCCACAGCCGTGCCTCCTGCAGTCCCAGGAATGGATTCTTGAACTTTCAGGGAAAACTGAAGCTTGACCACAAACCAGTGCCATTCAGGTCTCCTCGTAAGCACCCGAAGCTGGTTCCTCATTGCTGGTCTCGGGCTTGATAACTCAGGGTGTCTCATTGACAATCAAGAGCTTTCAGTTACTGATAAGATGCACACAAAATGGTGAGCTGAGAAAGCACAAATAACACAGCATTATATAGGGGATGCTGTCTTTATAATAAGTGTGCTTATATGTATGTGACTATACCTATATATCTGGATTTGTAAAAAATTCTTAAAAGGGGAAACAGGAAACTAGCACAAATAAAACAGCTCTTCTGCAAGCACACAGCATTAAGATTCGGATTCAGCAAACTTTAAGCCTCTAGCATTATAATTTCTAGGTTTCTTAAAAATTTTCAGAGCTTTCAAGGCAAGTTTTTAAATTTGTTACTTCTATAAAAAGGACATTTTTTGATGTAGCAGACACAACAAATTTAAAAAAATTATTAGTGGCTTAAAATTATATTGCTTAGATTTAAAAAATAATAATTACACCATTTTAACAGTTGAGTTACCTGTTAGCTCAATGCCATCTTAATCAGTGTGTATACTTTTATACTAAATTTCTGTTCCACACAAACATGTATTTGCAAGATTGTTGCCTATGAACCAGAGCTGTAGTTGAGTACATTGTAGTAAATATCATATTCTTTTAAAACTCAAACATTAATGCATTAATCGCCTACTGTCCTATGCCTTGTACCTGGCTCTGAGGTCACAGAGGTGAATGAAGCAAGCTTCATGTCATAAAATTCATGTTCTAAGAAGTTTTTTTTGCAGGGTAATCACCATGAATTTTTGTCTTTATGTGTAAATCTTCGGAAATACTGCATGTGGTGTACTTATAAGCCTGTGAAAACAGCCCTTTCCTTTCATAGATACATGCTTTTATTTTCCAATTCTTCAAAAACATTTCTTAACGGCTTCCTAGTATCCTACATAAATATACTTTATTCTTTCGATGTTGGACATTGGTTTAGTTCCAGTTTGCAAAACACCCACAGTGAACATACCTCTTCAGATAGCTTTATGTAAATCACACTGCTGTCCGTCAGCTGTAGACACTCCATACACCGGCCAAGCAGCTTCACTGTTCCCACGTCCGCGTCCAGCAGAGCGAACGCAGGCACTGTGCGCTGCACTGCCCAGTGCCCTAATCAGGAGGTTCAGTGAGACAGGCACTAACCCCGCAGCAAGGCGGGGGACAGAAGGCCCCCAGCTTAATGGTAACATCCAGGATGATGGTAGCAGAGAAAATACTCGTAGTCTCAAATCAGTAATGCTAGTGGAAATACCTGTTCTCAGCCAGGAATTGTGGTGAATCACACCCGCAGGAAGCTGAGAAGACTGTCCTCGGGGCACCTGAATGTTAAGGGCTCAAGGCCGAGCCTCAGGCTCCAGTGTGCGCAGGCAGCCCCCGCTGGCCCCTGGCTCGCATCATTGATTCCGGTGCAAGGGTGTGGACGTGCTCCATCGATTCCGGTGCACAGGTGTAGGATGTGCACCATTGATTCCGGTGCACAGGTGTAGATGTGCGCCGTCGATGCCGGTGCACAGGTGTGGGATGTGCGTGCTTTTCCTTCCAGGCTCCAGATTCCCCACAGTGTGATTTCCTTGCTGCGTACTTAACTTCTGGTCTCAGCAGCTTTTCCTTCCGCACAGTGCTTTCTATTCATCCCCTCCCCTATCAAGGCCCCTGTGGTTAAGGCCCATAACCTCACCTTTCTACTGCTGACCTAATTTGTTGGCTGCATCCCTGGTGCCTTGCAAGACCTCGCTGCCTAGAACTGAAGACCTCACTCACTCTTCCCAGCTTGCTCCTTCCTGCTCCCTAACGCCTGCCAAGCTCAGCTCAGTAATTTCTGAGCCAAAAGTGCTGCCCCGCTCATACCGTAGCGCCTCTCAGCTGCCCTGCCCTTTCTCCTGCAGTTGCTCCTTTCTACTGCAAGTCAGAGTCGTCCTTGCAGTAATGACCATGGCTCCCCGTGCCTTCAGTGAGGACTTGTGAGCGCAGCCAGTCTCCTTGGATAGATTTTTCTTCCTTACATGTTTTCCTGTCAGTATTTTCAAGTATCCAAGCTTATCTCCTTTCAGGAGATTCTGCCCAGTGTCTCCTTCCGCTGCCTAGAAGAGGCTGGAGGTGCGTGCTGATGGGAGTCAGTGAAGGGAGACCAACCACACTCTGCAAGCAGGCGTCTCGTGAGGGATGTGTCTGTTTTCTGCTTACTGGTTAGCGGGCCTGACGCTTCTCTACCAAAGACCTATGTCAGGGCACGCTTGCCACTAACACTTTGTACCTTTCTCCTTCCCAGGATGTGGCAGTCCCTCCCCAGCCTGTTTCGCTGCAGCCTTTCCACCAGACGAAGCTCTACCCTCCCGCCAAATCTCTGCTGCGCCCGCAGGCCGCCTTGCACACCGACTGCCTCAGCCCAGGGCCCTTCGGGCGTTTGTCCTCCTCCTCCCTGCGCGATGAGCAGACCGCCCCCACCCTCCTTGGCCACGCGGAGTCCACCAAGGTGAGAGTCTGCGCAGGGGACTTGCTCTGTGCTGTGCACCTCGTGATGCTTAGCTTTTAAAACTTAAGTTTGGAGAAAATGCAGATTAAGACTATTTAGAGATGAAAAATTCAAGTATTAAGAATATGAAATGTGTATACTAAAACATGTCCTCTTGTGAAGTGATTAGTTTGTGTTTTCTTTCATTTTCTGATTTGTTCCTCACTGTCATGTTCTAACCTGAATGTGAAAATGCCAAGAGTTTTTCCAAAACTTATTAAGATTCCATTACTAATTTGTATTCTAGTCTTAGTTCTGTAGTCTTAAAAAGCTCCTTAAAAAACAGTTAGCTTGATGAGGAGGTACTCACAATTAGGCAGTGGGCAAAGAAATACTTAGAAGTCCCGTAAGTACTGCAAAGGAATGCTGGCATTTTGTTTTAGTGTGTCCATCTGCCTCATAACGAATAGCAGTTAGATGTGTAAACGGCTGTGAAGTGTCCAGCACGTAGTGTGTGTGCTGAGGTGCTCAGGTGCAGTTGAGTGCATGTTGAGCAGGGGTGTTTCCTGAAAACTGTTCGCAGTGGTTTTGGAATGAAATCATGGGTTTAGAGGCGAGCCATCTTCCCATGTTCTGGCTTGTGCTTGGACGCTGCCCAGCCTTGTGCACCCGTAGGTGGGCGTCGTGGTGGCGGCTGGGCCTGGAGCGTGTGCATGTGGACCAAGGAGGTGATGACCAGCGGCCCGTGATGTGTTCAGCACAGCTGTGGGCTGGGTGACAGAAGCGCCGCCCTGAGCGGGGCCGCAGCAGCTAGAGGACTGGTAGCCCTGCCTGCGTGAGGGGGCCAGGGAGCTTGCCGCCGCTGCCCGCCCTGCCTGGGTGCTCGCCCTCTGTGGTGCTGCTCTGCCAGGTCGCCCTGCCTGGGGCTAGCTGACTGTGCGCCGAAACCCCCAAAACTGCGAGCCGAAATGAGCCTGGCTTGTGGCTGCGGGCTGCCTTGTCTCAGCAGGCCGCGGCGCCCGCGGGCGTCTTCACAAGTGCCCCTTGCTGTGCTGAGCCTTACTGCCAGCCCGTGGAGCACAGGCGTTCAGCCCTGGAAATGTTCTGTACTAACCGACTTGTAAAACGGGACCTTCAGTCATGTCTTTGTGTAACTGAAAGTCTCATTTAAAAGCGTTTATCTTGAAAAATCCTCCACCATTAATAAAACACTTCTTTGTAATTGAAAATCCATCAAGGCCATATTCCCGGATGAGGTTAAACAAAATCTCTTGAACCCTGAAACTTTTTTTTTTTCTGAAGAAATAATATTCATAAACTCAGACTAAACATAATCATTTTTTTTTAAAAAAATGAACACAATTACATGAGGATGAATTAGCTTGTTGTGTTTCATGCCATCTATGATGATCAGTACTGAATTAAGCAGTTTTAAAAATATTAATTTGCTGCTAACAAAGTTAGAGATGACCTTCTAATGGTGTAGTTGTGCTTTGGTCTTGAGCTTGGAGAAAGGCAGGAACAAGGAAAGCACAGTGCTTTAAAAAGTTTTTATGTCTGAAATTCTCTGTGATTCAGTGCATGCTGACATTTATGAAATCCATGTAGTTATTAGTTAATAATTCTGATAATTCAACCATTTTCTTATAAATTATTATCTATGATAGGGTTATGATTATATCTTACAGATATCAATTACATGAAATAGCTCATTCTTTTAATATTTTGTTGACATTTTCTATAGATGGTGAACAAGGATAAGCTTAGCATTTCATTCATATTTTAGTCTATGCTTTTTCAGACTGAGAGCCAAAAAATTTTTCTGTGTATGTTTGCAAACCTTGTGTTGTAGATATAGCACTAATGTCATCTTAATTTATCAAGAGTTTTATTTTTATTTTTATTTTTTTTGCAGTTCCAGGGGTTGAACTCAGGACCTTGCACTTGCTAGGCAGGCACTTTGTCTACTGAGCTATCTCCCCAGCCCAAGAGTTTTCCCTCTTTATTTGACATTGCTGGCAGGGACATGTAACACCGAATCTGCCATCTAAATTAAGCTTTCTCCAAACCCTGGCATCGCTCCTCTTTGGCCTCACAGCCTTCCCTACCGATCTCCTGTCCACACTTGAACCTTCGCATCTTCCCTCTGCAGATGTGCATTGTGCATCACCTCTCGGGCCCCACCCACTGGGGGCACAAGGTACTCAGCAGGCCTTCTTCCTCCATTGAGTCTGCAGTGCTTTCTTCTGAGCTTCCCTTTCAGGTGGCATTCCTGAATGCGTTGCCTGCCCTCACCAGTGTCCTTCTGCTCCCCTAGAAAATGGGGACTTAGTGGTCCCTACCTCGTGGGTGCACCCTAAGGATACAGTGCACACTGTGTTGTCCCGTAGGCCCATGATGGAGACCCCACAACCCTAGAGTGCTTATGTCATACGATTACTAGATCTCCTGGAGGTGATGGTCGCATTGCCGTCCTGAATCTTCATTTGTTTTTTCTCCAGTGGGTGCATCCTCTTATATGCAGAATTCTCAGAACAAAACCAGCACTATTACGTCCTTTTCCTTGCTGATCTGGCAAGGCTAGCAGTTTCAAACTTTGCTTTCTGTCAAAGTGTTCATCAGTCATTGTCTCCATCACGGCTCTGGAGCCAAGCTGTAGCCGTTTGTGAAGGTGCCTGGCTCGCACCTCGACCACTTTGTTCCCGTTGCTCTTCCATGCACCACTCGTGCAAAACTTCAGCTGCAGCTCCTCAGTCTTCTTTCTCTTTCAGCCACTCAGAAGTACTTGGTGCCACTGAGCCTTTCTGCTCGACTCACTCTGGATTCTCCTCCCGGGGCATGGGTGTGCGCCCGCACCCTGCCTGCTCCCTCTTGGCTTTCTTTGTGATGTTCCTTGCTTGTCTACTTTTCTGATCGCCCCAGATGCTCACCCAGATACTGGGAGTCTTAGAGGCTATCTTAGTGCTGAGGAGCCTGAAGCCCACATTTCCCGTTCTGCTTCCCCACGGGATCAGCGTCTCACTTCTCACTGCATGCTGATCGTCTCCCCTGGGATGTCTTGTTGTCGCCTCACATTCATTCGCTTTGCCTGAAACTAGTTGTTCCCTGGCTTCCCTTTTTCAGTCCTTGATGCCATAATTTTAAGTCCCCAAGCTCAAAACTAAAGTCATTTGTTATGGTCCATACTTGTGCTTTGTCCTCAGTGACAGTCATGCACCAAGTGGGATGGAGGGAGGGTCCTTTGCCATGCCTGTGATATTATCTCACATTATTCTGTATTATTATTCCACTTCACTTAAACTGGTGTGCTCTTTACCTCGAGGTATGTCTTGAGTGTTCCTTACTGCTCAGATTCTGCTTGCATTCTCCCCATATAAAATAGTCCATTTCTCCCTTACGTATGTAAACTATTCTTGCACTTATGAACTAGTCAAATTGTCCATCCTCCTAGCGAGGTTTCTCTGTGCCTCAATATTCAAAGTGATCTTTTTTCCTGTCAGTTTCTATACTCCTGGCCTGTGGGGTGGCATATCGTGTTTATTATAGTTATATACATGTATTTTGGTGCTTGTCTTGGTGTCCATGTTTTCCACAATCTGTGACTGGCAACAAGTATGTGTTAGTGATGAACAAATCCTAAAATGATCCAATGCTGTCCGTACGAAGTCCAGATGCGTAAATAACCATGATCATTTCTGTGTGGAGCATGTACTAAATCTGAGCTAACTTACGGGCTTTCCAGGTTGTTTTGCATAAGTTTAGTCAAAAAGATGGTACCTTCAGGAAACACTGTGAGGGGAGTGGCCAGAGCCCTGGACTAGAAACCCACAAAGTGTGCACTAGAGGCTAACAAGCAGGCTGCCTGCTGGGAACTTGTACAGGGTCTGAGAAAAGTCCCTGGAGCACAGCACAGGGTGCAGAGCTGTGTCATGCAGGGGCAGGTGAGGTTCTGACTGCTCACCACCCACTGGGGGCGGTGCCCGGGAGGGGCTGCCATTAATCTCCAGGAAGAGCCCTGAGCAAAGCAAAGAATAAAAGCAGAGAGAAAGCCTTTCTAAAAGAACTGAGTTTTCTAATACTGAAGATAAATTCCAAAAGGCCTCAATCTTGACATAAGCAGATATGTCATGCCTGGTACTTCACTACCTGAAGGATTAAAAACTTAAAGAAATTTCTAAATAGAAAGAAAGTTGGAAGAAAGGTGTAGAGAGATATAACTTTAAGGCAGTAACCACATATTTCCCATTGTCCCCTGTATCATTTGAGAAATATGTATCAAAAATAAAGCATCCTGAAGGTTTGATAGACAGAGTTGTGACTTTTACTCTCTTTTCTGAGAAGATCCATGCGAGTCTTGGCAGTAGCCAGCTATATCACTAGTACCGAGGCCTCGCTGGGAAATGTCTGTTCTTTGGGGATATCTTCTGAGATGCTATAATAGTTACTAATTGTATTGCTATAGCTAGGATGTCACATCTGTTGTAATCAGTTATTTTTCCTTGTGTAACAACGTTGGGAAGCTCTACGGTAATAACCTCACCATGCCCTAAACCCAAAGGCTGGGGACAGAGCCAAGCAGACACCAGCATCCTACTCTCAGTCGGGAAGGGAGGATGTTTCCTTCTGAAGTGGCCGATTGAAAAACCCCTTCTGCGGTAGCTGTCCGTTCAGAGCCAGGGTGGCCCAGCCCCTCTCTTGGGTCTCCGAGAGCCCCTTCCGAGCCCTGCCCCCTGCTCCCACCTGCACACTCCACTGCTTTCTTCATTGGTGGAGGTCAAGGCAAGACCCTGAGGTCTCGTGTGGAGACGGGAAAGCGTGTGTGAGTGTGGGGGCCCAGGTGTCTGCATTAGTCAGCAGTATTTAAAAAACATGTGTAGTGATGTTTTCTTTGAAGGAATTTTTTTTAGTCTTTTATTGGTACATGTTTGCCATACATAATGATAATATTCATTATAGGGAATTTGTACCTATATATAATTACCTTAATTTGAAGTTTTACTTTTAAAAACATTTTTTGGAAA